CAGCTCAGCCATGCACATTTTAATTTAAACCAGGCATGTCAGCATTTTCTCATACATACACTGCACATACACCGTTCATAATCATTTTTTATGTTGCCTCGAGACATAGATCTAATGATCAAGCTATCTAAAAGAGCATTTTGAACTATGCTCTTTTTTCTAAATTCATGGAGCAACAATAATTCAGAACATTTAAAATTATGCTGTACTTCATCATGAGGAATTTCAAAACAGCGTGTTCAGCTGATGGATGTCACACTATCTGGCTTAAACACTTGTAAGTACACACATACACATGCCACAGAGACATACAGGGTGTTTCAAGAAATGAGCTCACTATTATTTAAAGATTAGACAAAAGAGACATCTGGGTGCTACCTGCGACGTTCACTTTACTTTTGCAGAAGGAATCTTCAGATGGGTATGAACATTAATTACAGTAGTGATTAGAGAAATTTAAACAATTAACTTTTTAACCAGTGGAAATAGCCAGTCGAGTGAAGTGGGCGAATTTAAGTTTTTATGATTAGTCCACAACCACTTCGAAAATTTAAAAAAGCAGCCACTGGTAATTTATCACCAAGCGTTGAAACCTGGCTAATTTAGCAGGTGATCCCAAAACCAAATATGAATAAAAAGTTTAAATAACAACTGGAATGGCAAATGAAGTGTCATTTATGGACACAATATTCAATTATCTCCAACATGTACACATTGCGTACATAATTTTTATAATGCACATCAGTGGTAAGCGGTCATGCATCAGCCTATACCTGAAACTACATGAGAAGACCTCAAGTAAACTACACCTATGTTGTGCCATTAAATAATATTAAAACCATGTGAAATAATTATCAGAACCCAAATGCAATGCCCCAATATTGTATTTCAGGCCATCGACTACATTCTGCTCCTTAGGAGTAAGTAGTTGAATATAACTAAAGGCCGGATTTATACGCACTAAAAACCGGGTCTTAGGTGCCAAAAATAGGCCGGCAAAACACAGTTTTAGTCTCCCAAGATCGTAAATATTGACAAATCGTAATCTTTGATAAAATTCAAGTTTTCGAAGAAATGCGTGTGGGATCTGTGTCTATGACAGGAAAGCAAACAAATGCTTCAGTTTATGATGGTACAAAAGCGTAATTGTTTAGCATAGACATGCATTTTTTTCCCACAGGGTTTGCGGAATACAGTCTCTCCATTTCTAGTTCAGCATGGTGAGTTAAGAGTCCACCGTCGAATAAACATGATTCTGGGTTTCTCTTTTTGACACGGCTGCGAAGGGCTGCACATGTGGAAATATCCAGAGTGTGATAAGCCATAAAAATCTTTTTGTCTTATATTAACTTGGTCTAACCGCACAGGCTCAATTTTATTCTGTCAGTGAACACCTTAAATGGCGCTTACACAGGTTTAAGAATTTTGAGAAGCGAAGACAAATGCATGCACTGGGCGCTCACAATCTCATCTACCAAGATTTGCACTGCTATGCACGTTATAAAGAGTTGGAATGCCAGACTGAACACCACTTGACCTTCATCTCACATGCGTGCACCCCAACATGGTGGGGGGGATGGAATGGTCCTGCGTACGTCAAAGTTGTATCTGACACTGCGAGAACTATTCTTGATTACGTGGGTAATTTGTGTAATCTGTTGCCTGAATAGAAGTATGAAGGTTGACATAAATATTAAAACACACAGATGGAATCTATGCGCATTATTTTTCTAACTTTGTCGAGCGAGATGCGAGACTTAGCTGTCTTCATTTCGTTTGCGATAGTGTTCTCGCTGTTCTCGCATCGTGCCACTGACAGCATTCACAACACTTGGCGTGTTTTTTGATGAGAGGAGTTCTAGCTGTGCGATACTGTGTACCATAGTAAGGATACGTAATCCATGTCAGCCTCTCTAAACCTGCGTGCATAGAGGGATCCATCCGACAAAAACAGGCAGTACAATACAGGGAACGTCAGATCGACAGAACGCCACTTGCGGGCATGACCTGGCATGGGCATGTCATGCGAATGTAACTTACTGTGCGCATGGTGTGTTGATGCATCTGTGTCGTGTGATCCTTCAGCTTTGAGTTTTTCCGATACCAAATAGGGCGGGGAAGAAATTGAGCTTGCAAAGTCTACATTGAGTGTGGACGAAGGTTTCAAAGCTCACCTCCACACATCATGCTTTCACAGCTTGCAATGAACCAATTAAATAACTCTAGTGATACAAAGCTTTTCATTTGGCACGCAACAACTTCCACAGTCTAAGTAAAATTCTCGTGTGGCCTAGTTAATCGCCATTCAAGAAGTAAATGACAAAACGAAAACCACATAGATATCATTTTTTTTAATCTACTCTTTACTATCCCCTGATGACACTCCACAGTTTCGCATTCGTTCCTCATAGTCCTGCCGCTGCACAGAAGTAGGTCCTGCTCCCTACGCAAGCGAGCAGATGCTGGAGAGATGCCAAGCAGACGACGCGACGCAGATAAACACGTGTTGAGGCTAGTCAACCTTCCTATTGCTAACTAAAAAGGCCTTGTAGGCTTGACTGTGCTGAAAGTAATTGATGAGATAGAGTATATGTTGCACCCCAAGTGTTCCGAAAGCTCAATTTTGTCAGTTAACATGAATACTGGACTCCAGTGGTACTTGAAAGCAAAATTTGAGGTTAAATGACATTTATATATAGGCATCGATTTCGAAAACAGGCATTTATAGGCACTTATAGGTATATAAGCACCAACGTTCAAAACAAGCATTTATAGGCACTATAAAAACACTATATTGTCGCGAACCATGCATTGGGTTTGTTTATTTGTGTTTTGTTTTTTCGGCCTGGCTGTGCCGGCCTGTGCTATTGGCCTGGCTGTGCCGGCCTGTGCTTTGCTCACAGCGTTTCGAACAAACGCTACCACAGCGTTTCGAACAAACGCTATCGAACAACGCTTTAGGCGTTGTTCGATAGAAACAACGCTTCAAGCGTTGTTTGTTAGAAACGCTGTTTGAACGAACAGCGTTTCTAACAAACGCTATCACGGCGTTCCCGATACAATTCCACTATTCGAGAAACCCTCGCGCCGAGGGATATAAATTCCCGCACAGCCGATGCCGCGTCATTCGATCGCCGACGCTCACTAGCGTGCCCGTCGTTTTGCTGGCCGCTGCTTCGCCGCCTGTGTATTTTTTCAGTTGTTAGGGGAGCACAGGTTCGGTCCAATAAACTTGTTTTCCTCATAGACAACTGCGTCGTCCTTTGCTGCGTGACAATATAAGCTCTTCTTACTTTCTGTTTCGTGCTCATATTTCAAAATCGCACGATAGAAATGCAAGAAACAAAATAGACATTTGCCTAAAATTCGCTCTCCAAATATAACCTGCCCTTTAGTGGTCCAAGGGGAAAGATGATGTTCCATAATGTAAGCACTATTGCACCTTTCTGACATTCTATGCAGCAGTATTACTAAATCAAGTCACAGGCATATGTATGATATGTATTATTTGCTGCTAAAGAGCCCCCGCTAAAACCTCATGCTGTCGAGGCCAAGGCAGGCTATAATACGTTGTATAAAAAATTTTTTGAAAAATGTTTTTCTTCCTTAAAACAAAACTACTCTTTTGAAAGTTTTTTGCATGTTTTACTTACGAACCACGCCTTAACACAACGTATAAGCCATATTGTTACTTTGACTGTTACATTTCAAAAATTAAGCCACAATACGAGTGAAAATGCTAATCATCCCAAATTTTTTTTAGTATTATAACAATGTTTGTGCTTCATTTGCTCTCGAAGTATTTCAATAATCTAACTAGAAACAGGTACACGTTAAAAAACCCCAGGTGGTCAAAACTTCCGGAGCCCTCCACTACGGCGTCTCCCATAATCATACGGTGGTTTTGGTGTGCTGAACCCCACATATTCAGTCAGAAAATGTGAATACATTACTCATAACAAATTTGTGTTTTTTATAAGAATTGCTAGACATATCGCACATTGAAATTTTTCTCTAAGGCAAAAGTGAATAAATTTCAAACAAAAATAAAGAAACTCTCCTACTCGTGAAAGAGTAGCGTGTTGAGATTAATGCAGAAACTATGTCGTGGTAATTGCACGAACTAGTCATAATATATCAAATATTTAGAGCGACTCAGTTTCACTTTTGTGTTCAAAGTTTGAACTGCCCTCTAGGCAACACAAAACTTTATTGCGAAATAGAACCCCTTAATAATTACTTCTCACATTCACATATACTTACACAATTATTCTCATCATGATCGGACATGATCAAATATTGACTGGTTACACTTGATGTGGAATGACCTATATATATTGTGAGCGTTTACAAGACGCTTCTTCATGACCTGTACATAACCATCATCACATAGTGTTTTTCATCTGCATCTTTTGTGAGACATCCCTTGAGTTTGTTCTGTGCCTTGGATGTGACTGGTTTGGTCATGTCTTCCAGGCTTAATAAAGGCGTGTAAAGCACTATGTCGCTAGTGGTGAGGTTGTTTCTCGATTCTTTGTCCCCGTTTGCCCGCTTTACCTCCTGGAGCTTTGCTCAGGTTGCCGTTCAAGCCGCACGTTGGGTGTGTCCATCTGTGTGTGTGTGTGTCTGTTTATGTGTGTGTGTGTGAATTCTCTAATTGCAGACTTCTTTGTGATTTTCATTGCTTTTTTTTTATGATGCAGCATGACTTGAGTACAGGAAATAAGCTACCTTTTATGTCCACTTATGTGGGCAAAGAATGTTTTGTATGAGAACGATGGCAGTGAGTGTTTTGACTTGATTTCTCTAGTTAAGGGGCTGTATACAGTGCTCTTTATGTCTACCCTGTCCTTTTTCTTTTTGTTCGTGCGCTAAAACAATCTTGCAAGTGTGTATACCAGGGTTTCCTTATTTAGGGTTCTGCACATACAGATCACTGCACATTACTCAGTGGTGCCGATTTGTGAGCATGTTTTGCGTTCTTGCTTGTCTTCTATCAGGTATGGGGGCTCGTGGATCAGAGTGGAGCGAAGTCGGGAACAGCACACTCTGGACTTGCACATGGGTGTGCCTTGGGAAACTGTCACGCTAACTGCCCTGGGTCGAAACCGGCAACTCTTCTTCCGCCTACTTGAGGAAGGTGGGACTGCGTGTAGTCAGGCTGCTAGACTTTATTACACCGCTCAAAAAACATGAGGACCAGAAAAAAAAAACACTTATGACAGACCATTGCAAACTGTCAACGGAATATTATGGAAATAAGCATAGATTTAAGCATGGATACATAAAAAAAAACAACTGATATCACAATCACTGCATCACAAAGCCACTTACATGACATAGGCAAACTCTTTTTCCTCAGGCACTACTGACACACAGCTAATGCACATTATGGAAAAAGCTGTGATCTCCCTCTTTAACGTGTTCTTGAAGTGTGCCAAAAATTTGGTGCAATTCACATTGAACCAAGCATTTTACATTGCGTGTGCAGGAGACATGCGCATTATCTGCATGTCAACGGCACTTGTGAAAAAAAAAGAGACTGAAACCCTGATGGTTCACAAGAAGTATTGTGCTCTGAGTAGTGTTAACCTGTCCCACATAAACTGAAGGAAAAAAAGTAAATGCAAAGGCCTGATTTTTAAATATTTTATCTGTACACACATGCCTGGGGTGTGGGCATTTTTGGCACACCTTACATGCCAGGCTCATCGCTGTAAGCGCTCTGCTGTGGGGAAGTGGAACTCTCGTGTTCCACAGTGATTGTTTTGAAAGAATAATGCTAGGCAATTAGTTTCTGGCATTTGTTGACAGTATAAATGCTGCCTAACAGAGCTAGCACCAGGCTATGCACCACTGCAAATATTTAAAATACCTAAGGTAATTGTCACACGATTTCAACAAACCTTAATAATAGGTTCCCCCTGACTTTTTAACAGTAACACATAGCACTGTAAGTCAGCATGGAAGCACATAGCGATCAGGTGACGTTCTCAACATGTTTGCAGCCCGTGCCCTTGCTCTGGAGAAGGAGGCCGGTCGCACAGTGGTCTACTGTGCAATGGGCTCTGAGTGGAGGCCCTTTGGTCTGCCGCGGCAGCGCAGGCCTTTGGACTCGGTCATTCTGGACGCGGGCATAGCTGAGCGTTTGCTGGCCGACATCCGAGAGTTCATTGCCAACCCCCAGTGGTATGCTGACCGAGGTAAGGATTTGTTACGGCCAGCTTCTTCAAATAGTGCAAAGACAGAGATAATGAAAAATGGTGCAGTGTCTCACTTTTTAATGTGGATTGCCTTGTGTATAGGTGGCCTGATGTTCTTCATTGTTTTAAAAGGCTCAGGGCCAGAGAGTTTCTAGCTGAATTCATCACTGAGGGACAACGACACTTTTGAGTTTCGGAAAATTGTGCGCAAAGAAAGTATAGAGGATGTTATTAGACAAGATATTTGATCATGTCTTTGAAATTAATATCGGACGCTTCATTCGAAGGTCACAGGTTTGGCCCCTGCCGGTGAAAAATTATCTTTTCGTCCACTTTTCTTTCTTCACAGTTAAGATTACAATTACTGCTGGTAACATCCCCTATACTTCCCTTGGCAGCATTGTCTGTCAGTTCTCATTAATATTTTGTGTTACAAAAAAAAAAGAGCCCTTAAATTTGCATTTCTTTCCTGCAATTGTAGCAAGGGTCTCGTTATGACAGACATGACGCCTTCAGGTAGTACAGGAGAGATTATTGGTCAGCGACTAGCTCGTAATACATACAATACTGTGCTGCGTTCTGTCAACAGGCAAAAGAAGAGTGTTCCAGACTCACTGACTACAGCACTGACTGATGCTACAATGTGTAAATGCACATATTACCCTATAAAGTGGATGGAGGCATGAATGCAGTGGTAGAGCATCAAATGTGTTATTCGAAAGTCACAGGTTTGGTGCGTGCTGGCTGCAAGTTATCTTTTTATTCATTTGTTTATTCACCTTTAATATTACAATTACTTCTACTAACATCCCCTATACTTCCCTTGGCATCATTGTAAGTTAGTTCTCAATAATGTAGTACCTAACAAAGCTTTGAAAGTAAAACGTGCTGCTGTGAAATTAGAAAATTAATGCAAAAGGTGCCTTAGTGCTTCTCAGCTCAGAACACTCACACCAACTTTGTACCGTCCAGTGAGCTGTGGAGGCTACGTGGGAGCAACAGCTCGGAGTGTCCCACAGGCTACCCTATTTAGGCAGCTATGCTTTCCCGTCCACGCAAATAAGAATTTATTCGAAGCCAATTAACAGAGATGCCTGAAAAAGCTTGCTAGAAACACTTTATTGTATGGCTGAGCTTTGCTGCTGTACAGAAGCCACATAGCACCCTTGCATCTACTGTAACTGCACTTGCTCATTAATTAAAACTTTCGCTGTAATTTGTCTACTATAATCGTACTTGTTCATTAATTAAAACATTTGCTGTAATTTACTGCTGCTGGTTATTCAACTCTTCTGAAACAATGCTGTCGAATACATTCAGCATGTATTAGCTGAACTAGCCTCTTTCATACTGCTGAGCGAAATCGAAACAATTGTCCCATGGTGACATCATGCCCCTCCCCCTTACGGGGAGTTGGATATTGTGGACTTTGGATAAAACGGACTCATTTTGCCGGATCATCATGATTCACTGTAACGAGAGTAGACTGTACCTAAACTGTGCAGGAATATGATCGGCAAGAAGTCTGTGCTATGATGCCGCAGAGGTGAAGATAGTAGAGAACACACTGAGGGATTTGCAGTGGCATTACTTGAGTACAGTAAGACTTCGTGTATGTAGTTGGCCAGGATGATTGCATGGCATATGCACTTGCGTATTGAAGTGGCTGTGAAAAGTATGAGGATGTTATAAACAGCTACTCATTCTGCGCTGGTCTGGTACATCCTTGAGCGAAGTGAGTGAACAAATAACTACCACAAGGTAGGGCCAATACCATAAAGTTTCATACTATAAAGCTTAAAGGGGAATGTGGTGCAATTGTCCATGTAAGCTCTTAAGCGGTGCTTCAACCAGCATGGGAAGTATAGGCCTCGGATCTGCTTCAGATTGATTATGTTATAAATATTTGTTTGCAATGCTTGTTTACAGACTGTAGAACAAAGTGATAAGTGCTTTCCAATTAAATTTTGCTTCATTCTTCCATATGTAAAACTTACGAATAAGAGATGCGATGGCGATGGCGCTGTGGCGCTCGCACTGCTAGTTTGGTTTGCTCACGAGAGGGGATGGCGATGGCATATTGGCACTCGCATCTCTAGTACTTGGTTTGCTCACGAGAGGGGATGGCGATGGCATTGTGGCACTCGCATCGTTGGTACTCAGCTTGCTCACGAGACTGGTTGGAGATGCCACTGTGGCACTCACACCGCTGGTGCTTAGGTTGCTCGGGAGATGGGATGGCGATGGCGGCGTGGCACTCACACCGCTAGTACTCAGCTTGCTCACGAGATGGCAGTGGTGATGGCGCTGTGGTAAAGCCTCTAGAACTTTGTAAAGTAGCGACACTCTTCTTCTTGCTCTCATTTTTCCTCGGTCTCCTCTCCTTTGCACACACTTTTCGAATGTGGTGCCACCTGCATTGCTCTTCGTAGCAGACGCCCTTTCACGACCAGAGTGCTTGCACGGCAGGCAGGGCGCTGAGAGCATTCACGCCACCCGTCTAGCTCAACCTAAAATTATCTTAACGAGTGTAACATGGCCCAAGACGGATCACACGCACGCGCAATGCGTACGTGAGATCGTGCTTTGATCAAGTCATTCGGCGTCGCAGTGACCAGATGTTAACTTTGGACGCATCACCCCTTAGTATGTATGTTTTTAAATGTAAACATGTGATCGTGAGCAGGAACCCACATTTTTTTTCTTGGCCCATCCTTTAGGGCATCTCGGAATAATTTACATTGTGAATAACATCGCTTGAATGTTCATGTGGGGCTGCTATGGCTTACCTTTCTGTTAGCTGGTGCGATAGTCACCCGATTGGACCATGCGACTATCTTCCTTACTCAGCACATGGGTGGTGCAAGCATTGCCGTATATAGGGTACACAATATGTGCAGAGAGAACTCACAGTGACTGTCACGAAGTGAAACCAATAACACGCGTTGCCGCTGTTGAAGCGGAACAGCGATGTCGCCGACGACCAATTTTAGCGTTTGGTGAGGTATCTAAGACTGTAATGTGTCAGAAGGCGCACAGTTGATACATTCGAACAACTGTGGTTGTTTCGTGAAGTGGTTAGACGCACCAATCATATTTCAGAAGGGAGCCCTGTGGACGTATCTCACATACGAACTGTATCGCTGAAAGAATGAGCGAGCGTATAAATGAACTAGCGTGCCACCATACACGATTACTTCGCCAGAGCTCCACACATGAATATAGACCTTCACACAAAATAGCAAATAAACTATCACGCGAAATGACATGTATGTGTGAGGTTTCTAAACGATGCACGCATGCAATGACTCGGAAGCATGCACGCTTTGCATAGCTGCCCTTGCATCGCGAGTCCCCCAGCTGATCGGTCACCGTAAAAGAGTCGCAGAGAGCAATTTGCTCTGAAATATACGGGCACACAAGAAAATATAATGGAGAGTGCCAATCTTAATGCGAGGTGCTGCGCTCCAGTTTTGTTTATTCAAAATAGCAACGCAAGATCTCTGAAGTTGCACAGTCACAATTTTGAGCGTCTTCGCGTGTACATTCTATGTGCTCAAACCAGTACCAGGAACTCAAATCATTCGGCACATAATGACAAGCAGAACACGTAAGCAATTATTGTTTACCAAAAAAAGAAAACCAACCCCCCAGAAGCGTTAATGAAACGTGAGTGAGAGATCGCGATGTCCTGCACAATTAACTGCAACTTACCTACGGCGTTAGAGCAGGCATTGAATTGAGCAAACATCGAATGAGAGACGTGCAAATTCGCAAATTGGATTCGAAAATGTCGGCCTGAGGTTCTCATTTTTGATTCTACGTAACCATGTCTTTTGTCGCAACTCGTTGCGCTTAACGGGCGGTATCATAAATAGCTTTCGGCCATCGCTAGACTTGCTCTGGCAGCAGAAAGCGCAACAACCACTGACGGCAACGAACAGCGATGACATTCTTGAATGAAACGTATTTCACAGCACAGCGCGCATGGAAGGACAAGTTCGTATCCGTCAAAACAGATGCGCTGCGTCCCAAAGAGTCTGCGCCTCCAGAGCAAAGATGGCAGTCGCGAGCAATATTAAACCAGCGAACACTGTGAGCGATTCCACGTGACGGCATCTGGCCATTACCGTCGCGGTGTCAGTCTCAGAGAGGTCGTAGGAGGGGGGAAAGAGAAGAGGCACGTGAATAACCACGTACCTCATCATTATCATCATCATCATCATCAGCCTGACTACGTTCACTGCAGGACAAAAGCCTCTCCCATGTTCCGCTAGTTAACCCGGCCCTGTGCTTGTTGCTGCCAATTTGTACCTGCAAACTTCTTAATCTCATCTGCCCACCTAACCTTCTGTCTCCCCCTAACCCGCTTGCCTTCTCTGGAAATCCAGTTAGTTAGCCTTAATGACCAGCGGTTATCCTGTCTACGCACTACATGCCCGGCCCATGTCCATTTCCTCTTCTTGATTTCAACTATGACATCCTTAACACCCGTTTGTTCCCTAATCCACTCTGCTCTCTTCTTGTCTCTTAAGGTTACACCTACCGTTTTTCTTTCCATTGCTCGCTGCGTCGTCTTCAATTTAAACTCAACCCTCTTTGTAAGTCTCCAGGTTTCTGCTCTGTAGCTAAGTACCGGCAAGATACAGCTGTTATATACCTTCCTCTTGAGGGATAGTGGCAATCTACCCGTTATAATTTGAGAATGCTTGCCAAATGTGCTCCCCCCCATTCTTATTCTTCTAGTTACTTCAGTCTCGCGGTTCGGCTCCGCGGTTATTACCTGCCCTAAGTAAACATAGTCTTTTACAATTTGAAGAGCACTATTACCTATCTCGAAGCGCTGCTCTTTTCCGAGGTTGTTGTACATTACTTTCTTTTTCTGCAGATTAATTTTAAGACCCACCTTTCTGCTTTCCTTGTCTAACTCCGTAATCATGAGTTGCAATTCGTCCTCTGAGTTACTCAGCAATGCAATGTCATCGGCGAAACACAGGTTA